TTATTTCACAATCAAATTTTACAGCATCTAAGAGGAGCGAGACTGAGTATAAGCCATGTTTCTGTGATTGTTGTCAAAAGTATTCACCGATTTGGGAAGAATTGCTCTCATTCCAATTTGGCTTTGCTTACCCTTAAAGATGTAATCACTCAGGCCAGTTTGATTTGTTATGAAACACATTGCTGGGATTCCATTTGCTTTGTAATCCCTGATTGGCTGGCGTAGTCCATGTGTCTAATATAGAAAGAAGAAAAATAGCATCGAATAAACAGCCGAGAGAAATACAATGCACGGTGCACAGCGTTCTAAGCCTGGCCTGAATATTTTGTCTGGGCTGAACACATTCATCTCTTTGAAAACGGGAAGGGAAGATATTTGCAGCTTTCAGGAACAAGCAAATCAGGAAAACATTCAAATGAGAAATGCTCCTGTTATTAAAAATGAGATGGGCCAGGTTCCTCAGGAGACAGAAAGAGTATGCCAGGGGCATGGATTCGTAATTAGGACAAAATGAACCAGTGAGAATAAGGTTACTGGGATGTTGGCACAGTATGATCCAAAGTTAAGAAAACCAAGTCTCCTCTGAAGTGCTGACATCCACTGCATCTAGACCACTGTTTCTCAACCTCGGGGTCGGGACCCCTGGAGGGGTCACAAGGCGGTGTCAGAGGGGTCACCAAAGACCATCAGAAAAAATGGTATTTTCTGTTGGTTATGGTGGTTCTGTGTTGGAAGTTTGGCCCAATTCAACCGTTGGTTGGGTTCAGAATGATCTTTGATTGTAGGTGAACTATAAGTCCCAGCAACTACAACCCCCACAGGACAAAATCAATACCCTGCCCCAATCCCACCAGTATTCAGATTTGGGTTTATTGGGTATTTGTGCCAAATTTGGACCAGTGAATGAAAATACATCTTGCATATCAGATATTTACATGACAATTCATAACAGTAGCAAAGTTACAGTTATGAAGCAGCAACAAAACTTATTTTATGGTTGGGGGTCACCACAACATGAGGAAGTGTATTAAGGGGCCGTGGCATTAGAAAGCTTGAGAACCACTGATCTAGACTGTAGAAGTAATGTAGTTTAACATTATGGTTCTGGCTCAATTTACCTGTAAGAATGCATCTCCCCATATAAACCATCTAGGACTTTAAGATCATCTGGGGAGGCCCTGCTCTTGATTCAGCCTTTATCACAAGTACGTTTGATGGGGACGAAAGACAGGGCTTTCTCTGTGTTGGTCCCTCAGCTATGGAACACCCTCCCTAAGAAAATTAGATCGGTTCCCTCACTCTTAACATTTTGGAGAAAAGTTAAGGTATGGTTATATGAGCAAGACTTTACAAATGCAGAATAACTGACATAGGAAATGGATCACTTGACAATGGAATTTGGACAAAGTTTTTAACTAGGAGATGCTGATGATAATGATGTTGGTTTTTATTGTTTTTATCGTGGTTTTATATTGTCTTCAAGCTTAATCTGTATCTTACATATTATGTGTACTGACTTGTTGTAAACCGACTTGAGTCGCCGATAAGTTGAGAAAGGCGGTATACAATTATAGTAAATAATAAATAAATAAATAAATAAATAAATAAATGACATTACTTTAATTAGGTAAAGGTAAAGTTTTCCCCTGACATTAAGTCCACTTGTGTCCAACTCTGGGGGTTGGTGTTCATCTACATTTCTAAACCGAAGAGCTGGCATTGTCCGTAGACACCTCCAAGGTCATGTGGCCGGCATGACTGCATGGAGCGCCATTACCTTCCCACCGGAGTGGTACCTATCAATCCAGGCCCGTAGCCAGGATTTTGATTTGGGGGGGGGGAGCCGAAGCCCCTCAAGCCCCCACCCCGGCTACATGCCTGTATCGATCTAGTCACATTTGCATGTTTTTGAACTGCTAGGTTGACAGAAACTGGGGCTAATAGTGGGAGTTCACCTCGGATTTGAATCTGCAACCTTTCAGTCAGCAAGTTCAGCAACTCAGCGGTTTAACCCATTGCGCCACTGGGGATCAATGCTCCTGGGAGTTCTAGTTTGTTGAGACAACAGCACTATTTGGCAAAGAAGGTTAAAGGTTAAAGGCTTTGTAAAACTACAGCTCCCATGATTCCATAGCATTGGGCCATCACAGAAAGTGGTGTCAAATTATATTAATTCTATAGTATAGATGGACTCTGGATGAGCTGTGGACCAGAAACACATGCACATACTCCCTGCACTATTTCACATAATTGTTGTAAGATTAAAGGGAGGAACAATGGGGTTTGTAATTGAACCAGTAGGTACATTCTGAAGTTCCAGAGTTTATCACAATGGTCCTCATGGCTATACAGATGTTCAAAATGCTAATTTGCATCTCTCTGTGTACTTGTGAATGCATGTGTGTGTAGACACTTTATCTCACAGTGAACAAATAGCCTTTAAAACGATAATTTGCAAGAGGAGAATATCACATGCAAAGCTTATGGATCTTACATGTCCATTCAAAACCATGCCATGACAATCGGGAAGGCTTGCAACAACATAGTGTTACTGAGAAAATCACACAGATACCTACAGCGAGGATATTTGGATACTTAATAATCTCATAGGCAATCCATAAGACTGCAGGGACAACAAAGTAATGAATGCTGTTTATTATTGTATATACTTGAGTATAAACCTAGTTTTTCAGTCCTTTTTTAGGCTGAAAAAGTCCCCCTCGACTTATACTTGAGTCAAGGCTATTTATTATTTTACTCGTTGTTGTTGTTGTTGTTACATTTATTATTTTACTCTATTCATTATTATTACATTTATTATTTTACACTATTTTTACTGTTATTACAGTTTCATTATTTTACTCTATTATTGTTACATTTCTTATTTTTCTCTATTTCTTATTAGTGGAAGGATACGTAAGCACATTTACATTGAATAAGGTTAGAATAGTGGTTTAATCAGAGTTGGACAGTTTTATCTTAAATTACAGTTTTATGTAAATATTCAAAAACATTCAACCTTCTGATGCCTCAATTAATGTATTTGAATTGGTATCTATTTTTATTTTGAAATTTACCAGGAGCTGCTGCATTTCCCACCTCTCAACTTATACTCGAGTCAATCCTTTTTCCCAGTTTATTGTGGTAAAATTAGATGCCTCTGCTTATATTTGGATTGGCTTATACTCGAGTATATTCGGTAAAATGTCCTAGAGTTGTGATATAGTTTCCTGCCTTAAATGGCTACTATAAAGATTATTGGGATAATGGATAAATGAAGATGTGAGGGAAAGCACCTTCTTTGGAGATTTTTAAACAAGGCTAGATGGCCATCTATTAGAGGTACTTTGTGCTTTCCTTCATGGCAGGAGTTGGGATTGGATGGCCCATGTGGTCTCTTTCAACTTTATGATTCTATTATTCCAAGACAGGGGTCTTCAAACTACGGCCCGGGGTCCAGATACGGCCATCCAAGGTCATTTACCCAGCCCTCGCTCAGGGTCAACCTAAGTCTGAAACGACTTGAAAGCACACAACAACAACAATCCTTTCTCATCGGCCAAAAGTAGTCCCATACTTCCCATTGAAATACTAATAAGTTTATATTTGTTAAAATTGTTCTTCATTTTAATTATTGTATTGTTTTAAGTGTTTTTTGCACTACATATAAGATATGTACAGTGTGCATAGGAATTCACTCATTTTTTTTCTCTCCAAATTATAATCCGGTCCTCCAACAGTTTGAGGGACTGTGACCTGGCCCTCTGTTTAAAAGGTCTGAGGACCCCTGTTCTAAGAACTTTAAAAAATTAGAAATTAGAGTGTGATGTGAAGGATTAATGAGTAGATGAGACAGATGGTGACTCTTGAGAAGGATTAGTGGAGGGAGGAGGTATTTTAAGTGTCGAAGATTGATAGAAGCTAGCAAGTGGTTTGTGGTTACAGGTTATTGATGGTAAACATTTATGAGATGCTGTTTTTTTTAAATTATGTTTTAGAGCCACATAAAGGATATACATTGGGCCTTCTGGACCTGTGACTGTGGATCCACAAATTCAACTGACCACAGGCCATTACACCCCACATTATTAAATGGTGGCAATGTGAATGTGGACACGCTGATGCATCTGTATGTATCTGTACAGGAGTCCCAGAACCAAACCTCCACGGCTACAATGGATAATTTTCAACTGCCACCCACTTTAATCTCCAAATGGCAAACAAGTGCTAATAAATGTTTCAAAAGCAAAAATTAAACTCACAATTTGTCAGCCTTCTAGCTACAAGCAATTCCTTTCTTTGAATTTCTGCATCAATGGTGCTCTAACTTTGAAGCCATAGCGACAAATGTTTTTAACTCATAGGGAACTATGCAGGCCGACCGTGCTGATAGTAACTGATCTCTTATCCCACTAGAGTTATGTTAATAATGGTGTACTTGAGACGGGGCTGTCTTAAGGCATTTTTCTGCTGACATAAAGAACACTTTCTGTGACATGTATGGAGATGACTGATCTGGCCATGAAGTGTACTTCATCCTTGGTAATACTACAGAGTTCCTCATCATTCCTAAGGGTGCCCAGGCATTTTAGTGGTTCATGATAGGTTGTGAGTTACTCACAATGTTGTTGTCCTCCAAGAGAGATAAAAGGTCAGGGGATATCGGTCGAAGAACTGGAAGATCTCACTACTAGCCTTGTGCATTTGTATGGAATCGCTATTCGTTTTGGTTTGTTTCATTCATAGCCCCTCTCCCACTTCATTTTTGCACACCTTCTAAAAATGGGTGCCTTTCTAAATGAGCTTTTTTGTTCCTTGTCCAAAAAAATGAAATTTTTTGGACCATTGGCCAACATGGGTGGGCTTCTCAGGCTCCCCTTCCCTTCAGTTTTAGGGCTACAGAGGTGAAAATTGCCACTCATGGAAAGCACATCTACCACTCTTAGCCCACTGAGTTTTATAACGTTTGGGTCATCCCCCAATTTCTAGAGATTTTTAAATTTCTTTCTTTTTTTTCAAGATTTGGTAATGTTTATTTGAGTTGGATGAACACATACCAGTGAGCAAAGAGTTGCACAGATTTCTTCTCAATACTCAGTGCTCAACAGATGTCCCTACCTGAATCATATAATTTAATTTTTTGAAACAAACACTTGAACGAACCAATAACAGCAGCAATTATTTCTTATCCCATTCTTCTCTTTCGAATCTTTCACGAATGACTTCTTTCAGGTATGGCTGCAGATATGGTTGATCCTCTTCATATTTTACCCACTGTTCTTTAGGAAGGATCTGTTGCCTCATGGACAAGTCTAATGCCCTGTTGATACGAAATATTCTCTCATTGTACTTATCTTCAGGAAGTCTCTTCACATCTTCATACATTGTATCATCTTGCAGAAGTCCAAGTTGTGCTTCTCGGAGGTCAAGATGGCGGCGAGGGCACCTGCTGCAGCCAGTGGTCGTTTGCTTGAAAGTGTGCGGAAATGGTATTACAATCTAGCCGTATTCAACAAACTTAAATAAAATCTCTTTAAAAACATTCCCTCTTTTCCCCCGCTGGCCTTATCCTCTAATTTCTCCAGGAGCAGCAGCAGGAGGGAGGCAGGGCAGGGCACTATTCCTTCTTTCCAAATGTCAAAGATGCTCCACACACCACACACACAGTCCAGTGTCCATTCCAGCCCCACTATTTCACTTCTTTTACTGGTGGCAATGGGGGGGGGGGATTCCCTTCCCATCATTTTTGGCAATGGCATGGTTTGTCCTTATATCCTTCATTACGATCTGGATTAAAAGCATCAGTTACTTAAGATACCACTATTTTTGTGGTATTTTCCCCTCCATCTGCAGAAGAGAACTGAATTTAAAGACAGGGCTTAAGATAGCACTAATTTTGAGATGTTTCCTCTCTATCTTCAGAAGAGAACTGAGTTCAAAGACAGGGCTTAAGATACCAGTATTTCTGTGATGCTTTTCCCTTTGACTGCAGAGCGGCGGGCAAGGCGAGGTAGGCAAGCAGTAGGCGAGGCAGACGATGTCCTTACCTTCCTTCCTATTGGCTCAATAGGAAGAGCTCAGAGGTAATACTAACACGCAGCAATGCTCAGTGGGCTGTGTGAGGGGCACCATGTGGCCCAAAAATAAGGTGAATAGACTGTAACCGTTCATGCTTTCTTTCATTTTTGGGCTTATTTTTGTACCGTGGGGTGTGTGTGTGTGTGTGTGTGTGTGTTACCGTTTCATGCTCCCAAATAAAACAAAAGGAATGAAACAATAAATGAAACAGAAGAAACAAATACCGCATACATGACTACTTGCTACTTCTCCCAGCTTCTGTCAGTTCAGATAGTTCCTTCATTGTGCCTAATGATACAACTAGTCCTGACCTTTAGAGGAAAGCTTCCTTTGAGTTTCATGACAGCTACTACTATTACCTTCCTTACCTGCTTCCACTAAAATTCATAAGCATAAACCAAATGATTTGCAACACTCAATAAACTTGAATCTAGAAGTGAAATAGCATAATCATAAACATTTTTATTTTTATTCATCCAGGCTGCTTGGCTGGAGCCGTAGAGATCAGTTACTTAACTATATGTGTTCCCAAGTGAGCAATATTTTAATACCCATTGAGCTGTGATTATATTTGAAAGCATTCCTCTAGCATGAGAAAATATTTGCTCCATTGCAGTTGTTAACAACTTACATCCTAGTATAAGGAATAGGCTACTCTTCCCTTTGAAAGTGATACCAACTGGGGTTGTTGTAGGTTTTTTCGGGCTATATGGCCATGGTCTAGAGGCATTCTCTCCTGACGTTTCGCCTGCATCTATGGCAAGCATCCTCAGAGGTACCTCACTACCTCTGAGGATGCTTGCCATAGATGCAGGCGAAACGTCAGGAGAGAATGCCTCTAGACCATGTCCGTATAGCCTGAAAAAACCTACAACAACCCAGTGATTCTGGCCATGAAAGCCTTCGACAATACAGTGATACCAACCATTTGCAATTCCTTTGAATTCTAAAGGGCAAAACAGAAAGGAATATATGCACAGATAGCATTGGGCAAGATGTAAGCACTGCACCAGTAGGATCAATAGTTTTGCTCATCTGGATCACTCCCTTTGCATCTTGAATACTCTTCTTTGCTAATTCCTGGGTCAAAAGCTGCAGATGACCCCTTGTAGAAAAAACTTCATAATTTAAGAACATACAAATGCTGCTGCCATTTTGTTATGAGGCAATAATACTATACTTGCTAGGTAGCCCTACCCACTGTTGCCATTATGCTATAATGCAAAAGCACTGTAATGGTATCATTCCTTTCTACCTTTATGACATCATAGCTGCCTATATATATGTGTGTGTAAGTGTGTGGATAGATAGACCAATCTCCCTATGAACCAATCTCCCTATGAACCAGCTAGGAGCTTAAGATCCTCTGGGGAGGCTCTGCTCTCGGTCCTGCCTCCTTTGCAGATGCAATCGGCGGAAACAAGAGACAGGGCCTTCTCAGTGGTGGCCCCTTGGCTATGGAATGCCCTCCCTAGGGATATCAGATCAGCCCCCTCCCTCCTAACATTTCAAAAAAAGAGTTAAAACCTGGCTTTTTGAGCAAGCATTTGCAAATGCAGTGTAACAGGCAAATTTAGATCCACGGAACGATTGGACGATACGACTGGAAAATGATTTTAATAATGAGATGCTGAGGACTTGTGTTTTTATTGTTTTTATTGTTTCTACTGTTTTTATATGACCTATATTATATGTTAATGTTTGTAATTATATTTTATGTTGTTGGGGGAATTGATTGCCGACTGTAAACCGCCTTGAGTCACCTTCAGGCTGAGAAAGGTGGTATATAAGTATGGTAAATAAATAAATAAATAAATAAAGTGAGGAGCAGGGCAGAGGAATGAGAAATAATACCATCGATCTAGAGGAAAAGCTATGCAAATGATACCATTAAAGTGCAAATGCATCAAGAGTATGACAGAGACCACTATTAACTACTGTTGTGAGAATGGCTGGAGCAAATTTCAAATAGAGTACCATGGCATGAAGGAACAGTGTGATAAAGTCCTAAGTGTTTTCAAAATGTAGACAGTTGTTGTGCTTCAGAAAGAAAATCTCTGAAATCCATATAATAGGTGTTTCATTTCCAACATTATGAACCTAGTATTTTTATATTTCAATTGTATATTCTGTGCTTAAAGTGCCTTGTGATATCACCAGGGCTCACCTTCTGTGATTTCACTGGGTAACACCTCCAATTTCTAGTTTTAGGTCCTGAAAGTTAGAGCCTGAGAGTTAGATTGCTTCTAACTTGGCAATCCTATCCCAATCTATATATATAAATGCTCACGTCGTAATGAGTGGCTTAAAAACACACACATATATACACATATACACACACACATATATTATATAATTACAATACTTTTTATATTACTATTATATATACTGCTATATAATATTATATATATTATTGTTATATGTATTACTATATAATATGTTACTACTATATATTACTATATTAAATAGACTTATAGAATAGAGTTAGAAGGGACTCTACCGTGTTATTGGGGGAGAACAGACAGGAAAGAAGGAAGGAGGGAAGGCAGGAAGGAGAGAAGGAAGGAAAGAAAGGTACCGAAGAAAGGAAGGAAGGAAGAAAGAAGATAAGTAGAAATGAAAGGAAAGGCAGGAAAGAGGTAAAGAAGGAAGGAGAAAAGGAAATAAAAAGTGAAAGAAGCAAGGAAACAGGGAAGGAAGAAATGAGACAAAGGAAGAAGTAGAGAAAGGGGGAGGGAAGGAAGGAAAGAGAGAAGGAAGGATGAAACCAAAGAGTGAAAGAAGGAATGAAAGAAACAGGTAGAGAAGGAAGAAAGGAGAAAAAGGGGGAAAGAAAAAAGGGGGGAAGGAATAGGTTGGTACCTCTCTTTCATAACAGTCCAGATATCTACCTCTACTTCGAAAATTCTTACTACAGGCCACAGCAACGCGTGGCAGGGCACAGCTAGTAACCTCTAAAGCAGTAGTTCCCAGCCTGTGGTCTATGGACCACCACTGGTCTGCAAGAATGAAAATATGGTCTGTGGCCTCACCATTACTACACTGTTGCCTCGAAACCATGTGGCAACGAGGGCGACTGGTCTCATGAAACCCTCTTATAGTGCCGAGGCAATTGGGATGTTGGGAAGGGAGAGACTGACTACCCACGAAAGATTACTACTACCATATCAGCACTAGATTATTAAATATGTTTTCTGTGGGCGAGCAGATGGTGACTACTGGATGGCATATGTTCTGTATCGGAAACTAGAGCTAATGTGGTCTATCCAATGCAATTTTCTGAATCAGAGCCCCAAATAACCAAACCAAATCTAAAGTTGACTAAAAACTGATTTGTAACCCTTTTGGTACTAATGTTGGAGAGTGGCCCCTGGTCAAAAAAGGTTGGGAAGTACTGCTCTAAAGCAGCATGTCGAGGTGATTAAAAATCTCTTCCATGTTTATGGTAAGGCAGAGAGTCTAATCTCTATTTCACATGCAGAGGGAGTAACGGTAATTCTCAATTTATGACCATAGCTTCAATCTACATACCTGAAAGCATTATAGCGCCACAGAAGTTTTCCGCCCCCTCCATTTGTTGCTGGTAAAGTTATTCTTTGCAATTTTTCACTGAAGTTCTTTGCATTTGAACATTTTGAGAATGTCACAAGCTGTGGAAGATTACCTGGCTTTGAAAAGTCCTGACAACTCAGGCATAATTTGAGCAGCAGGATTCCTTTGAGACAGTTATTGTTAACAGTGCTGCCAGAGGAAGGAAAACATAGAATACATGACATGTGCCACAGGTTTTATTGTCTACAGACAGCTCAGAGCCAGTGTGCAATGGCTAAGGCTGACTGATATTGGTGTTGTCTTCACAGCAGGACTCTTCTGGATAAGAATACAAAATGCTACCCTTTAATGTGAACGCCCAGAATATTTTCACTTACAAGCAAAATTACATTATGGTTTCAAATCTTTGCTAGATTGTGTAAACACCTCAGGTAGCCTTGAGCAACTCAAACTTTTTCAGACTAAAAGCAAGGCAGTTGCAAATCTACTTTGACCTGTGATAGACATGCCTTAGGGTAGACATATGCTGGAAATGAGTTCAGAGCACACAACAGAAAGCGCCTGAAATAGCAGCAGTAGTAACACCAACAACAACAACAACAAAACTTACTTACTTACTCAGGCGATCCCTCATTGTCTGAGTAAGATAGTCTTCCAAGATTGGTGTACGGGCGGTGGGTACATAGGTGACTGTGGAGCCCTATTCTTGATCCGCATGTTCTCCCGCAGTGAGGGCATCGGTTTACAGGTGGAAGATGGTCCCGGTCGGAGTTGGCTTGATGCACCTTCCTCTGAAATGATTCCATCAGCATTGCCTCTGAAAAATCCTGCAAATTTCTTGGGAAGACAGGCAGACAAATGTCAGCATGCTGGAAGAAGCAAAGACCGCCAGCATTGAAGCGATGGTCCTTGGCACACTTCTGTCTTTTGCCCTCCATTTGTGCCTCTTCAAATTCCACAGCACTGCTGGTCACAGCTGACCTCCAAATAAGCGCTCAAGGGCCAGGGCTTCCCAGTTCTCTGTGTCTATCCCAGAGTTTTTAAGGTTGGCTTTGAGCCCACCTTTAAATCTCTTTTCCTGTCCTCCAGTATTCCATTTTCCATTCTTGAGCTCGGAGTAGAGCCACTGCTTTGGGAGATGGTGATCGGGCATCCAGACAACGAGGCCGGTCCAGTGGAGTTGATGGCAGAGGAACATCGCTTCAATGCTGACGGTCTTTGCTTCTTCCAGCATGCTGACATTTCTCTGCCTGTCTTCCCAAGAAATGTGCAGGATTTTTCGGAGGCAACGCTGATGGAATCATTCAAGGAGTTGCATGTGATGTCTGTAGACAGTCCACGTTTCACAGGCATATAATAATACTTTATTTGTATTCTGCCCTATCTCCCTGAGGGGACTCAATAAGGGAGATCTGTAACTAGATCACCCAGAAAAATGTCCTTTTTCTTGAGACAGCTGTGGAGGCTCCCCCAGTTTGGATGAAGACCATGGTGGAAAAGGGAAGTCCATACCTAACCTTTTGCCATGACTCAATGGTTGGCCATTGAGTCATGGCAAAAGTGGCAGAAGTGGAAAAGCCAGGACTTGCCACTTTAGCTGATCAAGGATTCTGCAACTGAATTGCACACCACTATTTCACTAAAGTGAACTGTTAGGCTTTCGTTTTAACAACATGTCTGCCCTAGGACCTCAGCACATTGAGGTCAAACTTGTGGGTGACAGCAGGGGGGGATTAACCATGGATTGTGACAAATCTGGTGTGGGGCATGGGGAACCCATCGCCCCATGTCCCACTCGCATCACCCACATCATCTTGTACCTCATTCCATGGGTGGAAGCATCACCACTCAGTTTCCCCAAATCCTTTTCTATGGAACATGGGAAACCTCCCATGTTCTTGCTGCTGCCTGTTACAACAGTTTCAGGCACGGAGCTTTGCTGGAAGTAGATCAACATCATGTGATGGGATCTGGTGGGCTCCATGTCTGAAGTGAGGTGAAACTGTTGTGGGATGGACAATTTGGTCCATGTGATGAGGTTGCAAGTCTCACCCCGCTCATCGATAACACATTTTTATTGAGCGGCACAATTATACCCCCACCTACAAGACATTATGTTGCCTGACCAAAAACATTATGCTTTTTGAAGTGGAGAAGAAACAAAGGTCAGCCAAGTTAATCTGGCACATGGGACCACAACAAAATAGCAGTAAGAATGCAATAATAAATTAAATAATTAATCACTTGGCCCTCGGATAAATCTCCAAATAGCAGACCACGGTGAGCACTGCTGCTTAATGCTAGCTGTGACATTGTGGTTGACTCCCTCCATTCTCTCCTTTACAAAAACGTGTAGTTGTTTGCTTCCGCGTTTGCAGCAGTGGCCTGTACTCATACAGAGATTTAATAGGGTACATTTTTTCTGGCATGAAGATAAGGGACTGGGAAACCTTACAAAATGTCTGTGTCAGGCAGCCATTAAAGGGAATGCAATCACAGCAGCATAACATTTGATAACAAAATGGAAAGTTATTTACTGTTACGATAAAAAGGAGTAATTTCCAAAATCTCTGGAGAGCTATTTTTTAAACGCCTATAGTAAATGATGCACAAGAAATGATGTATTACTGTTTTGAGATTCTGATGTAAGAAGGCTATGGCTGTTCAGAGTAGACACATGTCAGATTATGAGGTTTCCTTTCCCTTTTGTTCTAAGCCTTTTTCCTCAGTGGTTTGGATATATGGGAATGTTTTCATGGACCATGCTGGTAACCTTAATAAAATTGTATTAATTAGTAAGCAAATTGCCTCCCTGTATTGCCAAGAGATATGTGAGTGAATTATCCATTCATATGTTGTTGTTGTGTCTTTGAGCAATTTCCAGTTTTGGGTGACCCTAGGGTAAATGCCATTACACAACATATGAGCCTGGAGTTAACTGTCACGTTGCCAGGGCTCTGCCTTATTTAGGTAGAGATGAACCAAACTCCCAGTTTTATCAAACAGTTTAATTAAAACAGCACTTACTTGCTGGCTGTTTTAATAGACCAAAATATAAAACATAAAGATAGCACTCAGTCACAGAATAAACAAAAACTGATAACAAAAGCTACACCGCAGTCAAAGGGTCCAGTCCAGTGGTCAAATGTCGAGAGTTCAACAACAAAGTCCAGGGATCAAGAGTCTATACCATAGTAGTCAAATGCCAGTCCAAAGGTTCAAGGTTCCAGGGTTCCAAGATTACAGGAGACAGGTCAGGATACCGAAAATCCAACAGACCTGGGGGAAAAACAACAGCATCCACCACCAAAATATGACAATACTTTTCTCCCAAAGATCAGTCCCAAAGTTAGCTCCTTAAATCCAGTAACACCCAGCTGCAACCTATCCCCTGCATACCTCCACCCTTAATTGCTTTTACGTGTAAACTGTTATTTACAAACTACTCAGCCATTTAGAACCAAGACTTACATTAACCCTTCCATCACCAACTGCCAGGTCTACAACCACCAACTATGGAACATATGACATTAACTAAGCCAGCCCGGGTCGGAGTGAGCTTCTGACCAATTTGTGTAGCTTGCTGTTGACCTTTGCAGCCTGAAAGAAGTTGCATCTGTCAAGTAGGAAATTTAGGTACCGCTTATGCGGGAAGGCTAATTTACAACGCCATAAAAAACTCCAGCAAGCATGCAAAGAATGAGGAAGTACTTCATCAGTGTCACAAATGGACAGTGAAGTGACAGCTCCCCTGGTGGCCAGAATATCCTCATGAAAAGCTGGAATGTTAAATTGCCTCTGTGTCTGTCTATATATGTTGTGTGTCTATGGCATTGAATGTTTGCCATGTATATGTACATTGTAATCTGCCCTGAGTCCCCTATGGGGCGAGAAGGGCGGAATATAAATACTGTAAATAAATGTAAATAAAATTTCCCCTTAAATCCAAATTTAGTCAGTTGAAATCGGAAACATCTTACCTTTCCACACACACATCGAGTCCATTCAGTGCCCAAAAAGTACAAACCAAAACTCACTTGGAGATTTATGTCAACATAATCTTGACATTTTGTGGGTGTTGCACAAAGAGACATAAGATACCTCCTTGCACAACATAGTGGTCAAAATGTTTAGACAGTCAGATAGTTTCTGGGTTATGGCCCACTAAACAACATCTAGCTATTAGGGCTGGGCTGTTTCGTTTGTTAATTTCGTAATTCGTTATTGATTCGTATTTAAATTAGCTTATGATCCGATATTGAGCCATGCAGGAGCAACTAAAAATCGAAACGAATTTTTCAATTTATTTCGTAATTGGTTCGAAATCGTTTCGAAATCATTTCGAAATTGTTTCGTTATTATTTCCGTATGTCTGGTGCAAGTTTTATAGTTGTTGTTTGTTTTATCAGTGATAAAAAAAATAAATTATCACACCAGCAGTCAACAACAGAGGGAGAGGGAAGCTTCAGAAGTTCTCCCTGTCCCATTTGGAGGTTTTTTTAGCGTATTGCGCAATCGCGTCCGCCATTAACGAATCAATTCGAAATTTACGAAATTTTGTAAATAACGAAATTTTTTAAAGAAAAAAATCGGAATTCTTTTAAAAAACGAAACGCAATGGACTCCCTAAAAACGAAACGAGTTTAGAAACAAATTTTTCCGTTGTTACCCAGCCCTACTAGCTATCATTGCTCAATGGGGAAACAAGGAACAGATTTCTGATATATGGCGTGGCTTGAGGTCCTGATTAAAGAACAGAGAAATCAATGGTTTGGAGAAACAAACTACAGGGTTTTTTTTCAAAAGGGGACTTGCTTAAAGATAGGAAAGTTACCCGTTTTAAACTAGCTTTATTCTAGGAAAGAAGTGAGTGAGGTCAGGCGGGAAGAGAAGAGGTGAAAAACACCATTAAGTATCTGTTTACATCACAGTGCGGTCATTTTTTTTCATGTCAGGAGCAACTTGAGAAACTGCAAGTTCACTTCTGGTGTGAGAGAATTGGCTGTCTGCAAGGACATCGCCCAGGGGACGCCCGGATGTTTTATCATCCTTGTGGGAGGCTTTTCTCATGTTGCCGCATGGGGAGCTGGAGCTTATAGAGGGAGCTTATCCGTGCTTTCCCTGGATTCGAACCTCTGACCTGTCGGCCTTCAGTCCTGCTGGGACAAGGTTTAACCCACTGCGTCACAGGGGGCTCCTAGTGCAGTCATGATAGGTAATTAAGAAGAGAGGACAAAAAAAAAACCCCTATTACCACTGAGGCATTCTTCAGTGCTAAACATTGTTGCGCATCTAACAATTTCCCCTCTGTCTTAAGGGTAAAGCAGATCCCTCTTCCCTGGCCATGTAATGGACAGAGACTGGGTACACACCTACTGTACATCTCACCATGACTAGGAGGCAAAGCTGGACCTGGTGGCCACAACTGATATTACACAATCTAGAAATCAAAATTATCTACAAGACCATATCTCCTGATACAAATTCTGCCTTGGTCAGACCACACCTGGAATACTGTGTACTATTCTGGGCACCACAATTGAAGGGAGATTTGACAAGCTGGAATGTGTCCAAAGGAGGGTGACTAAAATGATCAAGGGTCTGAAGAACAAGTCCTATGAAGAGAGGCTAAAAGAGCTGGGCATGTTTAGCCTTCAGAAGAGAAGGCTGAGAGGAGACATGATAGCCATGTATAACTATGTGTGAGGAAGTCATAGGGAGGAGGGAGCAAGCGTGTTTTCTGCTGCCCTGGAGATTAGGATGTGGAACAATGGCTTCAAACAACAAGAAAGGAGATTCCACCTGAACATTAGGAATAACTTCTTGACTATGAGAGCTGTTCAGCAGTGGAACTCTCTCCCTGGAGTGTAGTGGAGGCTCCTTCTTTGGAGGATTTTAAACAGAGGCTGGATGGCCATCTGTCAGGGGGGCTTTGAATGCGATTTTCCTGCTTCTTAGCAGGGGGCTGGACTGGATGCCCATGAGGTCTCTTCCAAATCTATGGTTCAATTCTATTAGCCGTCCCCTGCCACACGTTGCTCTGGCCCAGTCTGTGTATATGTGTTTTGTGTGTGTGTGTGTGTGTGTGTGTGTATGTGCTGTCATCCGCTGGGCCTGTGAAAGAGTCTGTAGACAGGACGTGTTTTCTGAATGCCAAACGGGACGCCGGGGGTGCCTTGGCTGAGAGGCCTTTCTGATTTCCCCACACAAAGTTCTTTTAACGACTTAGAAAGTTCAACAAAGTTTTTATTGTTGCTTAAATCTTCAATAAATCAAAAAAATACTTCAAGGCTTTGAATCAACTGGTGGCTTGCTTAAATCTTGTCCACAAGGGACAGGCAACTTTCTTCATAAATTGTTTCTTCCTTCTACAAGGGAATCCTTGACCCCTCCCTGGGCAATCTGGCTTAAGCTCTGCTGGCGTGGGCCCCTACACCCGGTCCAAATTGCTTTATGGCTGCCACGAGTGGTCCTTATCAAATAGAGTCCTTTAGTAGATTTCCAAAAGGAAAGAAGGCTTTCAATTCCCAGCGAAGGCTGGCTGTAAAACCGTGGAACTGTATTTCTCCAGCAAAGAGCTGGCTAAATTCCCCAACAAAGGCTATGCTGTAGTTATCTGTAGAGCTGTGGGACTGGATCACCCCAGCAAAGCTGTAAAAGACGAAGCTTTCTACAGATGGAACTGATTCACGTCCTGTACGAAAGGCTTCTCTATGTGAACTGAACTAGAGGTTCCCTTTTACCCAGAAAAAGGAACGGAACTAAAGAACATAATGATAATTGATGGGTCATTGGCCCTATTATTGCAAACCAAGGGAAGCCACCTTATTGCAAAATGCATGGAACTTTGGAATACACGCAAACACTCAATAGAAAGGGAAAGAAGTTGGAGCTCCTGATACAGCCGTACCAGCACAGTGTATGTGTGTATATATACCGTATATTCCGGGGTATAAAACTACTGGGGCTATAAGACGACCCCCC